AGAGTAACTAAAACAGCATCCCTGATGCGTGATAAAAAAGAGTGCTTATTCATCAAATAAAACTGCAGCATGAACACACACATTAAAATTTAAACAGAACTCTGCAATCATGAAATTCGCAGCAGCTTGCTACGAACATTGAAATACATTCAATTGATAACTATTTCATCTGATTGCTGGATTTTCAATCCTTGTGAGGATGAGATTAATACTCCCTCAATACCATTTTGTATTACCACTTTATTCTTGTATTATGTTTCTACAGATATTGACCTATTCTCTAGTGACAAAATCACAACCTTCAAATATTTAACCATATGAGAGTTATTGTTTTGCATTATCTTATTCTTACAATGACCTCCTTACCTTACAACATTTTCACCTGTTATTTAACATATTTCCAACAAACTCAAATGAAATAATTTATGCAAATTTCTTCTTTTAATTGCCACATTATTTAAACAAAATCAGCTGCAGGAGTCTTAAGACAGAACCTTTTATAGAAAAAAACTGTAAGACATAGAACCACAAAAAAGTATTTTAGTTACACATAAACAAAGGAGAGTTCAAAAATATTTAGAACACTTGAAATACTAAGATATGAAAGGTATTATAATTTATAGCTCCACACATGGAGATGAACCGCATAAAACCAAACAGAGCCCTAAGAATGAGGTCAAAAACCATTATCTCCAGATTTCACATAGTTTATCGTTGATCATTGCCAACAAACACATAGCAGACAAGATGCTGAAGAACGTGAGGTACTGAGCTTTTAGAAGCAATAGATGATTTATGAAAGACAGGAAATCTCATTCCTTCAAAATCATGTTTTATCAGAAACAACCAATGCTAACATACTTAATGAAGATAAGTGGAAGGCAGAAGAGGAAGCAAAGTATATCTATAGCTCTTGTGGCTTCCCCACCTCGTCATTTTGTTAGTTCTAACAAAGTAGGAAGAAGATATTCATCGAGAAGCACAAGACTGTCTAGCCAGAGAGTGATGATTATACTGCTCCCAAGAATATACATAAGGTATATGGGCAGAATTGATTTAAAAAATCAACTGGAACTGCTTTTTGCGTGCAAGACAGACAAGGCGTACAGACTTAGGCCGTAAATATCAAATGACTACAGTAAAATCCATCACTTCACAGTTCCTCGTCTTCATTTCATACACCAATCCTTCAGTAGGAATCAGTAGACATAGTCTGGATGAAGCAGAAAGTGCCTATGTTAAGAAAAAAGTGAGCTACTGTGGTACAGTTGCATTTAAGTTCATTTATTCCGCGAAGAAGCCCACCTTGATTCTGATTAGGAGAATTCCTAAGGAGGATTTTAGATCAGACCAATCTGCTAGAAGTAGTAGTGTCACTCTTTCCTTGGACAAGGTTTTTATTTTTTTTGGTAGGAGATTTGTGCATGACAATTGACAGTGCAAGGATAGGTTTGAGATTTAGTGAACCACAAAATAATGTCTTATAGATAACTTGAGTACTGAAATGAATTAGCCATGGAACTTCAACTTCAGGAGACAATTTAATGACTGGGAAGTGATGAGCGTGGCAGAATTTCTCAACATTGTTGGAATTTTTAATGGACTCCGGATAAATGAGAATGTGCTATGGTGGAAAGGTGACGATAGAGGCATATTTAAAGTAGGGGCAGCTTACAGGTAGATGGAGCAACCAAGTCAACAGAACCCAACTTGGCCATGCAAATATATATGGAAGTGCAGAATTCCTTATAAAGTGTCATGCGTCACATGGCTGCTGGCTAAGGAAGTTACTCTGACTCAGGATAATATAATGGAAAGGGTGATCATGTTATTTTCTAGATGTTCTCTATGTGGGGAAACCTCAGAATCTGTAAAACATCTATTTCCATACTGCAAATATACTCCACAGTTATGGAGGGTGTTCTTTAGTCTCGAAGGCATTTCCTGGACGATGCCTAGGAGAGTCACTAAAGCTCTAAAAACCTGGGAGGAGGCAGATGTACATTCTAAAGACAGAGTTAGATGGAAAATTATACCAACTTCAATATGGTGGGCAATCCGGAAAGAGAGAAATTCTAGGTGTTTTGAGAGCATAGAAAATATAGTGCATAAAGTTAAACTTGACTGCATTTTGTTGTTATGTTTTTGGTGTAACCAATAATACTCAAATGATGTCTCTATAATTGATGTTTAGACTCAATACAGAGTTATAGACATAGACCAGTAAAGTTTGGAGTTCATTTGTATATCCCTGTTGTGATATAATACAAAGTTAACAAGTTCAAATAAAAAAATTAAATTAGCCCAAATAGAGCAAAACATATTCATATACCCTATCCTAACCAGTCTGGGATGGAGGTATAGTTATTCGTGTAGTTTGCATTAGTTCTTATGGGGGGGAAACACAAGAAAAAGGCAGGGATCCGATTCAGAATATAATGGGAGGGGCACTGTGGAGGAAAAGAAAAGGAAAGAATGTGGTGTCCAACTTTGCCCTCTACAGCTAAGTATAAACTGCAGAGAACAATATTACACAAGTAGAATGAGGATCTCTAAAGTCTAAATATATGTCATCATGGGGCTCAAAGAATGAGTTTGACTTTTTTCTCTTTGCAATTTTTCATGACAAGTTCTTTTTTTTTATAAGCAAAAAGTCTATTGTAGGAATTTCATGAATGCATGACCGGCCATGACAATTTAGGAAACTAAATCAACCAAGTCAAAACACACAAATATTACTTTTCCTTAAGAGTAACTGAACTAAAAGAATCATCACTTGCGTTTACTGATGACCCTACAAAGAATGAATTAACTCAGATATACTACTAGATCATGAAGCCTTAAGCAAGTATATGAGTTTAACAACAAAACTTAAAAGGTTCTAAAGATGGATCACTAGAAAAATAGTAATAAAATGGGATTTAGTTCACCCAAAATCCCGCAGCCTCGTCCTATATGAGGCTAAAACTATTTACAAAGTGCAACAGTTCTCCCTGACTACAAATTTTCTCATATAATTTCGACTGCTGTTATTTTTTCTCACCAATTCTGGTTATACTTTGTTTTAGTTAAAAAAAAACGACACTTTGCGCACAACAAGACATAAACAGGAGCGCAAAAAAGTGAAAAGCGGAAGCAAAAGGGGCTGCGGGTGGGAGTTTAGGGTTTACTGACCGAGATCACCGCCGCGTTTGGCTGAGCTGCAGTGAGAATGAGTGGCGGCTATATCCTGGAACTTGGCTTTGCCAGAGACAATGTCTTCACGGATAGATTTCAGCTGAGAAACGGCAGCTTCTTTGGTGGTGTTGGAGATAACACGACCTTCCGGATCCTTCCAGGAAAACTTGCGACGAGACTCCTGATGCTTAATGAGTATATGAGACGCCTTCACTTTGTCTCCACCGGCGCCGTAGCGGGAAGAGGATGACGGCATTTTGGACTTTTTCTTGTGCTTATCCGGCGGTCGATCTGCAGCAGAGATCGATGTCTTCTTCCTCTTCCGATCCGACTCTATTTTTACAGATTTGATATACGACTTTGCAAAGGTGGAAGCTGAGAATTGCAGAGTACTTGGGGTTTCTCTGCGTTGTTGTCTGATTCTTGACAAGGTTTTGGGGAATCGCAAACACCAGTATATATAGTTCTATTTTTATTTTTTTCAAAGCAATTTCGTAGTGTTATATTAAGTAAATTAGGATGTTGAGATGAATATATGAGTATAAATTTGAAAATTAAGATACTTGAGTTTAGATATGAGTGGTTTTAATGGTGGATGATAAGAGAAAAGCGAGATTGAGATGATCTTAAATACGAGAGTGTGGAGATTGCAAATTATGCTAAAAGATTAATATGTAGCTGAAGTTTTTTTAGTTTTCCAGGATTTAGATTTAATGATATTTGTCGTAGTAATAATTTTATTTTACAAAAAAAGAAAAAGAAAGAGACATTAATGTTTTATGTGAAAAGATACGAATAATATTGAGTCTTAAGGCCAGAGATAAGCATTCGGTTTTTCAATTTGATTTTATCAAACTTCAATTCGATTTTTGAATTTTCGATTTTAGGAAAATAAGCATTATATATCAAATAAAACTAATTTGATTTGATTTAGTTTTCGTACCGATTTAGGTTAGAGTTTTAAATTAAATTTTTCGTGGGAATGAAAAATAAGTCAATGAGGATAAAACTAAAGTATAAGATATTTAAAAGTTTTAAAAATATGTTAAGAAATGATATGTCTTGCCATGAGACTTTTACGATGCTAACTAAAGGACTATATTTATCATTGATAATAATATTGTGCCTCCAACTACTTCTCTATAAAAATAAGAACGAAGACAGATTCCTTTACATAATGTTCATTGATAAAAATATGTTTTGGTTCCTCCTAAGATTTAATATTTGAAGTTAACTATTGAATTGTTCCGTTATTGAGAAAGAAACTTTCGTACGGGGTGTATACATCAAACTAATGCAATCTTTATTGTTACGTGATTTAATGAAGTAAAAAATAAGTTTATTAGTTATAATTAATTAAAATGAACTATAAATTTAAACATATGATATACACGCATTGACGTGGTGTATACGATCGATATGAATAAATTTTACCTATTTATTATTACTTTAATAGGTACATGAATGATTTAATTGTTAGTTGATTTTTTTTAAAAAAAAGAAAATTAATAAAAGTTAGGGTCTTCGATTCACCAAACTTTTGAGACCCTTACACTAAAGACTCGGACTATTGAAAAAAGTAACATCGATATTGAACCAAAAAATCAAAAGCAAAAAAATTTAATTTAATTTAATTTTTTAATTTTTTGATATTTATGCCCGTCCTAAAAGGCCAGATACGGGCAATTTTGGTCCTTTTTTATTTTTCAACAAAAGAAAAGAAAAGCAACCGTTAGATCAAACTCGATCCATCGGCAGAGAAGCACGAAGAATTTGCCCTAAAGTTTATTAATAAGTTGGCGGCACTCTGCTAGTTTGATTTCTCGATACAGATTCACAATTTTGCGGTAGCATTAGGTTTTTGGAAGAAAGTACAGCGATGAGTCGGAGCTTAGGCATACCGGTGAAACTTCTACACGAGGCAACAGGGCATATAGTGACTGTAGAGATGAAAAGCGGCGAGCTTTATAGAGGAAGTATGGTCGAGTGCGAGGACAACTGGAATTGCCAGCTCGAAACCATCACTTACACTGCTAAAGTATGGATTTCTCCTTGTAGTTTAACTGTTTGTCATTTGTCAATGCGGTGTTTGCTGTTCCTATAATCTAAAACCCTAGTTCTTGTAATGTCACGTGATTCCGATTTATTCCGAATTCAGATGGAAAAGTTAGGTGTTGATCATGCTAAACTAGAGAATTTAAATTAATCTCTTGTTTTCTGTTAAATGTATGTTGTGTTCAAATGAAGGATTGTGTTGTGCTTTTACGTGTATTTACTGTCAAACAACTCTGTTTTATGAAAATGAAAAACCTTTTGGTTTGTTTGGTTTTTTGAAATATTTCTGTTTCATTCTTCAGGACAGATAATATTTTCTTTATCCTTCAATCACACTGCAATTATTGGATAAGTTGTTTGGTATAAATAGCTCTCCGGATGATCTCCAATCATCTTCCATTAGCTAAAAACTTTCAATGCTCATGTTTTTTTGATTACCAGCCAAAAGAGAATACTGGAAAAGTGTTTACAAGGATAACATCATGACTAGTCGTGTAATGAGCTAAGAAGTCCACTGTGGCTTCTTCAGTGCTTAGTTTGGCACTTGAAATAATCATCTGTTAAACCTATCTGATTTTAGTAATGAGAGTCTTTGGATGTCAAGTAGAGATGGAGCCGTGGAAGTGGGACAAGTAGACAGTAGTTAGGCTGTTGCAGGATCTTTTCTCAAGGTAAATGTAGAAAATAATCTGGTGCTCCTCCTCCTGTCAATTCCATATAAACTGACCCCTTACTAGTTACTCCTATGTTAAACATATCTCGAGAAAAAAAGGCATGAAATAGAGTTAGAGCTGAAATGTTATTCCATTCTATTCTGTGATGGTGCTTAAAAAATATTTCATGGTGGGGAAAGATGACCATACTAGAGATTGTCAGGGTCGTATTGATTGGTTGTTAAGAGATAAAGGGAGGGATGCAGGGGAGAGAGTAAGGAAGGATAGATGGGTTTAAGTTTGTATCTAGCTACCTATTAATGATAATAACCCCCATGCTCTCATTTTTTTGATAATGGTTATTTAACTTTTATATATCCACAGTATTACTACAACCAAAGTGTTTCAAAAGTATTACAACTTACAACTTGTAATTCAGTTTAGTGCCTTACAAAAAGTTTAAAACATCACAAATTTCTTCTGTTTGAGCTTGTAGTTTTTGCTGACACCAAAAATAAAAAGGGAAAAGGGTCAAAAATTACCCCTCAACTTTGGTTTATTGTTTAACTTTACCCTCGCCGTTAAAGTAAAGTTAAATTTACCCCTTCCCGTTAAAATAAAGTTAAATTTACTCCTCCCATTACTAATTTCACCATAATTACCCCTCAATTAACGGAATTCTCAAAATTGACCGCAATTATCCAATTTTTTTCAAAAAACCCATATTTCCTATTTTTAACCCAATGTCCCAACCTTTTAGAGGATAACCATTTCTCTTTTACCCATTCTCTCAAATTTTCATATAACCCATTAACTTCTCCTCCATTGTTCTTCATTTCTCCTTTTTCCATTGTTCCTTATTTTTAAATGTATATTCAGAGGAACGATGGGATGCATTAATAAAGGATGGGAGATTGTAAGTAGAAAAATCAGTAGCCGTTGAAAAGAAAAAGGGGATCGAAGACAGAGACAGCAACATAGCTGAAAGATGGGAGATTTTGGGTATTAGACTTGATTAGCAGTTTTAAGTTTTTGCCTCAAAGATTCAATCTTTGGTTCTTTATGTTCCAATGAGGATGATGTTGATAAATCCAAAAGGGTATACGAATTGAGTGTGTGTTAGTAATTTTTGCCTCAAAAGATTCAATTTTTGGTTTTTTACACTTTGTTCTTCTTTATTAATTTTTGCCTCAAGAATTCCTTAATAAGTTATTGAAAAATTCATTAGGTTTAGACAAAGGCATATAGTAATATTATGAGGATTGAATTTTGAACTGAAAATTATAAGATTTGTTCTTTAATGAGTGGGAATGGGTAAATGGAAATGGGTATATGGTATTGGGTTAATCGGGTTATTTCTTAAAGGGGTCAGGTTATCGGGTTAAAAATAGGAAATATTTTTTTAAAAAAGAAATTGGTAATTGGGTCAATTTAGGTCAATTTTGGGGATTTCTTCAGATGAGGGGTAATTTTAACGGGGAGGGATAAAATTTAACTTTATTTTAACGGTTAGGGTAAAGTTGAACAATAAACCAAAGTTGAGGGGTATTTGTGACCCTTTTCCCAAATAAAAAAGGCCTAAACAATAATTCTGAATGTTCTTTTTCTTGAGAAAGTTAACTGGTATTATAAACAGAAGGAAGTACACCAATAGTGTGCTCCTAAGTAGTTACATCAAAAATATGAAGGAACATCCAAAACAAAATCTATCACCTATATCCTTTTTAGACCATCTAAAAACAAAGTAATGCCCCCTATATCCTTAGGTACAGATTGAATACACCAAAAGTAGAATGTTGCTAAACAGTTCATCTTCATCCTTTGGAAAGGAATGCTCTTGTTCTCAAAACATCTCTGATTTCTCTCCTCTCGAAATTGTCCACCAGATGCATGCAGGGACAATCTTCCATCTTTCCTTGTGTCCTGACTGATTTCCATCCCTATTCCAGCATGCTAGAACTTCTACAGTATGGCTTGGCATGGCCCATCTAATACCCCTGAGATTACTGAACCATTGCCATAATTTCTCAGTCACTTTACAGTGCAAAAAAAGATGGTTTACTGTCTCTATTTCAGATTCTGAATGTTGTTCTGAGTCCCCTCAAAGCACCTTTTGTTCCTCTCAATCCAAATTGACCACCAAATGCATGGGACGATCTTCCATTTTTCTTCCTTCTTGCTTACACTACCATTCGTATTCCAGCATCTTAGAACGTCTGCAATGCTTCCAGGTTTCACCCAACTAATCTCTTTCAAACTGATCAACATCCTCAAAAGCTGGTCTTTCCATTTGCAGTGCAAAAAAAAAGATAGTTGATAGTCTCTACTTGTTCCCCACATAAAAGATAGCCAGCGGATAGTTGGTAACCCCCATGCTCTCATTATAACAAAAAAACAACTTCCAACCTTTGTTTTCCAGGATTTTTCAGGAACTTGATCCCTTTATTAATGAACATATTTTCCAATATCCCCTCTTTTCCTGGCAAAGGATAACTGAAGACAAGGAGAAGTCTTCAGAACACTACCAAAATTTTCTCTCTCTTTAGATTATCAAATATTCCATTACAATTTTTAAAAAAATAATTAATTATATGAGGGCTTTGATATACATAAAACTTTTGCTTACCAAAATCTAATAGTTGATACTGTGTTGCCCATGGCCAGCAGGTTAATTTAGACCAAGATAGGGGGAGACACTAGAATAGCAGTTTTTTTCCTCCTCTTTTTTCATATGGTGGAATGTGAGTCAGCTCGCACACACCCCAACTAATCAATAATCTCTACCAGGTAGCAGGTACATGCTATCTCCAAGTGCACAGATCACTCAACTTTTTGTCTTTTGTTGAGATTTGAACTGTGTTAACTCATGATCCTTCTTAGTTTCATTGATCGTTAGTCACCCTTTTATAGTTTGATTGAATATTTGCTAAAATTGTGCAATCACAACTTTTTCTAGTCATCTGGGTCTCAAAAAGTCATTAGCCGAACTTGCACTCCACAAGGCTAAAGTACATGCTAACACAAATCATTTCGCATCACACTTAAGAAATGAATTCCAACCCAACCATGAAAACACAGATTTTCTTTTTAAAGTCTCAGATACCTCATGATAATGGTATAACAATAACAATAATATCATAGGAGCTCTGTAAGTATTTCTGTTCTTTTGCACTTTATGTAACTAACACTTTTGGAGGTGGCCAACATAGCCCTTAATGCTGAGGAGTACAGAGTTATCAGTTTCTAAATAATGAATATAATAGATCTTAGTCCAAAACGATAAGGTACATTTAATAGAAATCCTCCACCTTTCATATCCATTTATTTATTTTATGATCAAGATATCCCAGAGGGTCAATGATACATTTTCATCCCTCTATCCTTCTCCCACTCAAATACTAGCCCTTTTGTCTGCAACATGATTGAAGCCGGTGATGTGCACCTAACCCACACATCACATATTGCAGTCTTACCACTAGAGCAAGCCATATGACCCCTTCCATATCCATTTATAACTACGGGACATATATTTTATTGTAAATAATTAATAAATAAATGACAACACAAAACATAGTAAAGGTTTGTATATCTAACTTCTAGTTTTTGTTATTTATTTGACTTTCTGATGCTCTATTTGATTAACTTTGTATTCCTGGTAGTGAAGGTGCTAAGAAGAGGTTAATTCGTGACATTTTGCTATCATGTTTTTGTTGCATTTCCAGTTTGCGGCTCTCAAGTTCACCTGTTTTTAGTTTCTTCACTTCCAATTTCTTGTGGGGTGCAACTTGCTCTCTAGTGCATTAGCATAACATGTGAACAATACTATGATCTTACACTGCCGTCCCTGTACTTGATATTTTTCTTAATGTTGTCTGTGAGGAAAACGATCATATGATATATTATAAAGCATCCAAATCTTATTTAACTTTTGCCAAAGAAAAAAATGATCTTTGCAATCCTTGACTTAAAGCTTCCTATGGATAGTTGATGATATTTGATAAATAAATATAAAAGCTGATTTAGCAATACGTCATTTGCATTGCATGACTGATATTGGACAAATGATTCAGCTTCTAAGCTGTAGTAGCTTCTTTCTCAAGTTACTCAGAGAAAAAGAAATGTTCGTTTCAGTGAAGGACCTTCCTTCTATGGGCTATTTTAAAATGTTTTTTGCTCTGCAGGACGGAAGGGTGTCACAACTGGAACATGTTTTTATCCGAGGCAGTAAAGTCAGGTATATAAAATCATTGATTCCTATTGCATGTTTTTTGGCTGTTTCCTGGTAAAAGCTTAACTGAACTTTAATTTCTACCAGGTTCATGATAATTCCAGATATGCTTAAGAATGCTCCCATGTTCAAGCGTCTAGAAGCTAGAATTAAGGTACTTCACTGAAGCATGTCTTTATTTTATCCTTGTTCTTCGTTTATTTTATGTGTTTCCCTTATGTTTAATTTCACTTTTAAAGGGCAAAGGTTCATCACTTGGTGTTGGAAGGGGACGTGCTATGGCAATGCGTGCTAAAGTGAGTGTTGCTTCTATTCCTTCTACTTGTTTTTTTTTCTGTTTGAGGCCAACTACTGAAACTTAACTACATACCATCTCTTGTGGAATTTAGGTCTATGCTGTTAATTACCTTTTTTTTTCCTTGCACTGTATTAAAAAAGAAAAACAATCGCTTGATTGTTGCAAAATGGTGGGGCCAATATTATGTTTGGTTCAAAGATAAGGAGGGAGATTTGAATGGGGGTGGGGTAGTTGACGGTAAAACTGAGAGGGGAGGTGATCGATTTACTTCTACTATGTTCCTTACTTGTACCAGTAAGACTATTTCACCGAAACTATAAATGAGTATCTTGCTGGTTGCTTTAGATTGGTGTTGGGAGTTGTGATCCTTCCAAGAACTCAAGTGGGATTTCTTATCCGCGTTTTCTTTTGCTGGAGGTCAGGATGTTATGTAGAAAAATAGAAGGATGTCATGAAGAATTTGTTAGCCAAGAATTGTAGTTGTGGTGAATTAATGAAATGTAGCTGAGTATTATATCTCATTTGCAGGCTCAGGCAGCAGGTCGTGGAGCAGCACCTGGTCGGGGTGCTGTACCCCCTGTAAGAAGATGATTGACCCATGCAGGATTTCATATGATGTGGTTGAGATTTTCTTATGTTTATTGTATTGGCATACGCTTCTGTTCCCTTGTAATCTAAGAAGTAGTAAGGAACACACTTGGTTTAGAATTTCAACTACGATTTGAGAGAAGCTGAGTGTCTAGTTGCTCTGCCCACAAGTCTCTACGAATACTACAAGTCAATTTGTTGGGAAAAGTTATCCAAAAATTTCGAATGAAATTGCTCTATATATGAGGCAATCATGAAACCAATTCCTTACATGCCAAAAGTAGCCACTGCTAATACATTTGAAAACTTGTTAATGTCAGTTAATGACTCCATAACTTGCCAATTTTACCATTGAAATCAAATTACCATTCCTTAGAGGCTCAAGTGCAGCCTGCCTTAGGTGTTATAAGGTGGATTGGAGACTAATTGACGGGAGGGAATCTATAACACATCTAATATTGGGAGGTTGACATATCTTTAAAGGAGCCGTTCTGTTCATTGCAATTTTTAATGGCTATAAATAAATATAATCAAAAGTTTTACTTTAAGAAACTATAAATTAATCTTTTTCAATTGAAAGAAAATTGTCCATTAGTCATTCTTCATAATTTTATTACGTTAATTGACCGTTTAAAAGAGTTCTTTGCTCTCAAAATAAAGAGTGGATACTCCGATAATATTGATGAACTAAAATATGGGGAAATGGAAAATAAAATGTATTTTTGGTAAACAAGCTCATAATTTAGTTTGGAATACTTAATATTTTTGGTAAACAAGCCCATAATTTTAATTGTAGAGTCCAACTTACTTAATACTACTTGAGTTAGGTTTAAATTGTATCAGTTATCATTAAAGTAGAAACAAAAAAAAATAATATAGCTATCACCAACATGGATTTGCCTGGAGATATTGTCGACTCGATCTTGTTGAAACTTTTGTGAAATCTCTTTCACGATTCAAAAAATTACTGCAAATCATGGCATTGTTGTATCGATGACAGACTTCATCAAGTCACATCTACATAATAAATCATCATCTAGTGATAAAAAGTTGAAATTGAAATTGTGTCAATGGAAGCATCAATTAATGCAGATTCAAAAGTTGTGCATCTGAATATCCCACAATTAAACAATTTTTCTTTACAAGTGTGGCTTGGTCTTTATGACCTCGGCATTATAGAATCCAACACTTAACAAATACAAACTCATTCAAAATTTTCTTCTCACTCAACTAATTTCAATTTATTTTGTGTCGAATCTTTAACCTCTCATGGGGTGAAACTTTCAACTTGTCATCATTATAAATTCAGTCTTACATTAGTGTTAGTATTTGTTATGAAAATACACACATTCCTAAATTAAAATTACCCATGCTCTATTAAATGGAAGTAAAAAACTAACTCGAGATTGAAGCACTTGTACTAGAATTGGCAGGGGCCGCGCGAACGCAGGCCCCCTCAGCAACAAATTATGACGTAGGCTCGACCACTTGGGCCGACCTTAGGCGGGCACCCCTTCAAAGTGCAATGATGGTCACCAACCTAGGCCATGGGTGTTCATGATCGCCCATTGACCCCGTCCAGGTAAGTATGTTTCAAGGTCGTACCCTCCTTTATTTTTATATCACTCCATTACCTTGCCTGCCCTTGTTTCTGACGATGTGGGATAAATCTCACATACACTTGTTCACCCGAACATCTTTCTTTTCTTTTCCTTTTGTAATCTCTTTATTTATAAACCACAAATTCAACAGTAGCTTATAAAATACGAGTATATAACTTATTGAAATTTGACAAAATGTTTGAGATTTTTGCAGAACTTTTCAATAGAACAAGATCTCCATTTTCCATTTGTTCTACCTTTTCTTTGAGTAGTGAGCCAAGTACTGATTATTGTATCAGAAGAAAGAATCACTTCGTCCAACTTTATAATTCGTTTCTTCTTTTATTTAAATCCTATGTTATTATGAAAAAGCAGCAGGATGAACTCGGGGCAAAGCACATGCTCGAATTGGTGACCAAAGATGAAAATTTCAACTTCTGCACATAACTGTGTATAGAAGCGAGCAGGGTCATCATAAATCAAGGATTTGAAGAATTTCATCTTTTTCTTGTTGACGAGAAAAGCTAAATACAATACCCAACAATTTCAACCCATGTGAATAAATCTTCGTTGATTTATGGAAGACAAATACTCTCAAGTTATTTTGAGGAATAGAGATTAACCCCACCAGCACCTGTTGGGCACCACGAGTTGAGCAAGACACAAATGATGATTTACAATCAACAACAGACGAGGATAATCAGAACTGCAGTCAGGTACTCGCAACTCTCCATCAGCAGCGGGGTGTAACTAAGCATCCTCCAGTTCCAAGTCAGGTACTTACAACTCAAATATCAATGTCCTCGTGGTAACTTGAGTTTGGGGGAGATAACTGAACCTACTGCCAAGAGGCAGTAAATCAGCATTAAGACCCGAATAAGTCAACTAACAAAGCCTTGCTGACATTTTCCAGTTCCAGCAAAAAATGAACACTCATCTGCTTTCCCGGCAATGAGTGATCCTATCATTCACAACATCCTGTAATAACAATCTTCAAGAATTAGAATTTTAACGTACAAACTTTCTATAGAAGAATTTCAATTTTAGCTGTTTTTTAAGGGATTAAAATTTCAACCAAACAACTTGCCAAAACCTCTGACCATCACGGTCTCTCCATGAAACAAAAGTTTGATAGTTACTTGAGCAATAAGAGATTTGGGATTAAAATGGGATGCTGTAAGGCCATTGTCACAAAAGAAACTCAGATCGAACAAAGTGTTCAGTGAAAATGAATTCTAATACAAGTGCCAATAGCCTAGGAAAGAAAAGGCAACTGCAAACCAATTAAAATAACAAAAGCCCTAGTTAGGCAAGGGAAAGATCAAAGCTTTTCGCCAAGTAGTACTACTTGACTGTATATATAATGTTAAATATATATATCGAAAGTGTATATATTTAGAATACAATTTAATGGTGTATACATACATGACTGTATACATAATATATAAGGGGGTTTTAACCAAATTAAGCCATTATATAAAGCAATTCACCAAAATAATATGTTTTTCTAAAATTTTGCAAAACTAGTATAAACGTATTCCACAGTAACGTTTTAGGATATATTTTATTTTTTAAAAGTTGATAGCGTCAGATTGATATACGTTACTCATAATAACGTTTTAAAAGTAAAACGTTACTCATAGTAACGTTTTAGGAGTAAAACATTACTGAAAATAACGTTTTAAAAGTAAAATGTTATTTACAATAACGTATATCAACCTAATGCTGTTAGTTTTTTAAAAATAAAATATACCCTAAAACGTTACCGTGAAATACGTTTATACTAATTTTGTAAAATTTTAGAAAAATGTATTACTTTGGTAAATTATTTTATATAATGACTTAGTTTGGTTAAAACTATATAAGTTACAATTTAGTGGCGTATACATACCAGAAGTATATACATTTCATAACTGTACAAGATACAAAGTAATGATGTATATATAATAGAACTACACAAATACAACTTAACTATGTATACATCAAATACAACGTAAGTATGTGTACATATCAGAATTATACAAATATAATTTAATGATGTATACATATAAGAATTGTAACTATGCGTAAGAGTATTACTAAGAAGGTCGCTAATTTATTTAATTTTTCAAATTGAAATCAATTAATTCCAACTAAGTTATACAATAATTATCAATTGAAGCAGCTACAGACTGAAATAGATGCAACTACACATGATTATAGATCAAATATACAAATGCATATATCAAGTCTCTATTTATACAATTACGTATATTAATACTACATATATTATTTTATACGGACAATAATTCCACAAAATATATGGAAAACATACATTTGACCAAAGCTCCAATTATCAATGGAGAATTTATACAATTGGAGTTTCAAATACGTTCATATACAATTTCCCATTACACGTTCAATTTAAATACAATCAAAACAACTTATTCAATTAGAACAACTAGTAAATGATTGATTTATATAACTTCAGCCAAAATACAACACATTACTATCAATGGATATTGATACAATTTCATTTTTAAATTTAATTTGTTCAAATTCACTATTACCAGATCTATTGAAATACAGTTAAAACAACTAATAATTGATTGTTTTATATAGAATTTGTTTTATCAAAAAATTATTATTTCGAAAAGAGTTTATTTTATTTTTAAAGTATTTTCGACTTTTAGGAGTCGCCACTTAATTTTTTAAGAAAAATCAAGAAAACTTATTTCCAAAACAACTTAAACAGAAAAAATTATTTTGAAAATATTTTAGGGGGTTCGGGATTCTTATTAGTGTCTTAGGAAGGTGTAAGGCACCTAAGACACTCCGTTAAAACACGATTTTCCGACGATTAACAATATTTGACTATTTTGTTTTAACTTTTGCTAATCTTTTGTTTATAGAAACTTTATTAGAAACTGTTATGCAAATTCTCCAATTTTTTTAGAATATTTCATTGAAGTTAAAACTTTAACTCTAAGCGATTTTCAAACTTAAACATCTATCTTTTAAAGTTTCAAATTTTTAATTTGAGTTTGATAAAATAAAAGACGTTCGATGGGGCTGGAGTTTTCTAATCCTAGGCCAACGATATTCAAGTAAAAAAAAGCGTAAGCAAATAATAGAGAGAGAGAGAGATTCGGGTCCAAGTTTCGAATGCTGTTCGCCTTGGCCGAAACTCGAACCCACCTACTTTTGGGTTTTTGACCCATTTTGTACCTGTCCTAATCTAAACATACAAAATAAACTACAAAGGAATGGAAACGACGAGGGCTTATGCCCATTACAGAATAAATAAAAACGCAAAATATATAAAAGAAACTAAGGAAATCTTCTAGTCAGTTCTTGGATTTTCTTCAATCTCCGTGGATTTTCGAATCTGCACTTCTGTCTCGATAGGCTGACTCGATGGGAAGAGCTTTTGAGCCTTCATGGCTCCTCCGAAATGCGAGGGAAAGTGGGGTTCCAAAGTGGACCGGGGAGGAAATTTTACATGCAACAAATGGGAAGAAGGAACATTAGAACAAAGTCTATTTAAGTGAAATACAAGATAGAAGGAACACTTGATCTCATCTTAGACAAAATACATCTCCCAACGACAATGTTCTATCATCGAATAAGCAAATCTAGCTAAAAAAATATATCAATTCATACCAAATAACAAGACACTTAAA